ACTTGGGGACTTCACTGTGGCTTAGAGTAAGGAGAATGTTCTCTCTGTTAAAAGACCAGGATTAGAAGTCAGGCTGCCTGTCAAGGCCCTGGGGGCATACTAATCAAGATAGGAATCATAGGGCTAACAGTATGACTCAGTAGTGGAGTGCTGCCTAGGACAGATGAGACCCTGGGTTACATCCCCAAAGTGACAAAGTGTTGGGAACTGTGTTTACTTGGAATCCTTTGTTCTGCGAGGCAGTAAAAGGTTCATGAAATCAGCCTCAGGGGCCAACACCATTTTGACTCTGGCACTACTTTTCTCCTGGGCCATAAGGAAACTCATTTCCCCTTTCTGATTTAAAGTCCTCAAGTCAACAATGCTAAAAAGCAGCAGTCTTACTCTCTGGGGTCACATAAGAAAATATAAGAAAAGAAGTTGGAAAAATAAAGTAGCAAAACTAAATGAAATACTAGTTTCCTCCATTAATAAAAGGTTCTAGAAAGGACTGGGGATCTGTTCCAGTTGGTAGAATACTTGCTTAGCGGCCATGAAGTCCTGAGTTCCATTCCCAGCATGGAACAATCCAGGTGTAGTAGAGCATGATTGTAATCCTGGCATGGGTATGGAGGAAAGAGGATTGGAAATTCAGTCATCCTCTACTATGTAGTAAAATTATGGCCAACATGGGCTACATGAATTCCTGTCTAAAAATGAATATATTTATGTTCCTTCATTTACCTTTTTGCCTAAAACAACTTTCCCTGCTTCCAAGATCAAATGAGAAGCATATCCATCTATTTTCTTCTAGATTGTTTATGGCCTTATTTGAGACCTTCTCCCCCACCCCCGCCTTTTTTTTTTCCTTTGATTTTTTTTTTTTTTTTTTTTTTTTGAGAAAGGGTTTCTCTGGGTAGCTTTGGCTGTCCTAGAACTCAATCTATAGACCAGATTGGCCTTGAATTCAGAGATCTGACTAGTGAGGCCATTCTTGATCACTTTAGGACACAGTAGGCAACAACAAGCATTAGCTTTTATTTGAGACAGGATCTCAAGTAGCTCAGAAGGGATTTGACTTTGCCAGGCAGATAAGGACGACCTTGAACATCTGATCTTCCTGTCTCCACCTCCTAAGTTCTGGGATTGTAGGCATGGCCCACCATATCTAGTTTATGGGCTGTTAGGGATCAAACTTAAGACTTGGTGATGATAAGCAAACACTCTTCAGACTGAGTTACATCTCCAGCCCAAGAATGGCCTTTAAAGTCAAAAGAAGCTTCATCCTTTACTTACTAGCTGTGTGATCAAAGACATCTTCAACTTTGTCTACAAAATGGGGATCCCAAGGCCTATAAGATGGCTCTGAAGGTAAAGGTACTAGCTACCAAGCCTGATCTGAGTTCAATTCTGTGGACCCAAGTGGTAGGATGAAACTGATTCCCAAGAGTTGTCCTTTGATCTCCACATGTATGCTGTGGTATGCCTCCGTAAACAAACCAATGTCATTTTAAGGGAGAGATAGGAGCTGAGCATAGTGGTACATACTTGTAATACTTGTAGAGGCAAGAGGATCAGTTTTTCTTTTGCTTTTATTCTTTTGATGGTTTATTTATTTTTATATTTATTTATTTGTTTTTCGAGACCCTTTCCTTTTTTTATTATTTTTCTTATTTTAATATCGATCCCAGTTCCCTCTCCCTCCCATCCTCCCATACCCTCCTACCCCCCTCTCATCTCATCCACCGCCCCCCCACTCCACAGGGACGATGGTGCCTTCCAGGAGGGATCATCAAAATCTGTCAATTTGGGGTAGGGTCTAGGCCCTCCCTCCGTGACAGAGTTTCTATGTGTGAACAATCTTGGCCATCCTGGAACTTACTCTTTAGACCAGGCTGGCCTTGAACTCAGAAATTTACCTGTCTTTGCCCCACTAGTGCTACAATTAAAGATATGCACCACTGCAGCCAATCACAGATCCATTTTTCAAGACATTCTCAGCTATATATTGTTTTCAGAGTAGCCTGGGCCGTATATGAGACCCTGTCTCAAACTCACACTCCCCAATTAAGACATTAATAGTTTCCAACATATGGCATTTTTTTAATGACTAAATAAAATTTGTAACACAGCACAACTGAATAGGTTTTGCTTGTTTGGTTGCTTAGGTTTGTTTGTTTGTTTGATTGGTTGGTTGGTTGGCTGGTTGGCTTTTGTGTTTTCAAGTCAGGGTTTCTCTGTGTAACAGCCCTAGGTATCCTGGAACTAGTGCTGTGGTCCAGGCTGCCTTCAAACTCACAGAGATTCACTGGCCTCTGCTTCCCAGGTGTTGGAATTAAAGGAATTCATAATCACCATTTGGCCAGTTTTTTGTTTTTTGTTGTTTTTTAAAGACAAAGTCTTAAAAGGCAACTGGTGGCACACTGGCACACACCTTTAATCTCAGCACTTGAGAGGCAGGCAGATCTCTTGTGAGTTTGAGTTCTAGGCCAGTCTATATAGTGAGTTCTAGGCTGGCCAATATAGTGAGTTCTAGGCCAGCCAGGGCTACATAGTGAAATGTTGTCTCATGAAAGGAAGGAAGGAAGGAAGGAAGGAAGAAAGCAAGCAAAAACAAGGAAAAAACCCAACAACAAAAAGGTCAGCAACTGTACTTAACAGTTTGAGGGTTTTTAAAGATAATTATTTGTATTATTTTTAAATTGTGTGTGTGTGTGTGTGTGTGTGTAAGCTGGACTTACTAATGCATACCTTTAATCTCAGCAGTTGGGAGCCATAGGCAGATGGATCTCTGTGAGCTTGAGGCTAGCCTGGTCTACAAATTGAGTTCTAGGACAGCCAGGACTGTTACACAAAGAAACCCTGTCCTAAAAAAAAAAAAAAAAAACAAATTAAAAAATAAAGTATATGTGCTGGGGTTTGGTATGTATATATGAGGTATCTTCATAGGTGGCCCCAGGTTTCACTGGAGATGGAGTTACATGTAATTGTGACTCACCTGGTGTGGGTGCTGGCAATCAAACTCAGGTCCCATGCAAGAGCTGTTTGTGCTCTTAACCACTAAGCCATCTCTCCAGCACTGACATTCCTGGTCTTGATTGCTTGGTATCCCATTGCCTGGTGATTTAAAGTAAACCCAATGATAGGTCAAACTATGTCACCCAGATCTTGCCTAGCCTGATGTTATAGCTCCCTCTGGAATTTGGCACTTTAGCATTACTGTACTTTAGGGGAGAACAGCAGTGAATCCAGGTGTACAGAATAGCAGCAAGTCTCTGGAAGGAACTGTAATGTCATAGCATCCTATGCAATGTAGGCATGTGATATGGACCTGACTGTCCCCTAATCTCTTTGAGGCTGAATCTTTATGGGTTTTGTTTATTTGTTTGGTTGGTTAATTGGTTTGTTTTTGAGACAGGGTCTCATCTCATGTAACTTAGACTGGTCTCAAACTTGCTTTGTAGATGAAGACAAACTTGAACTTCTGGTTTTCCTGCTTCCAATTCTTAATGAAATTAGAGGTGTATGCTACCATTTCTCTGGTGATGGTGCTAGAACACAGGACTTCATTCATATTAAGGAAGTACTCTACTGGGCTATTTTTGGGCTGATTGTTCAGTTTTAGTCAAAACATGATCCTAGATAGCTTTCAGCCAAATCTTTGTATGCTTTCATTACAATTAGATGCTGTAGCTAGCAACCCAGAACATGACTGAGCAACTCAGTGATAGAGCACATGATTAGTATGTGTTCAGCCTTAGGCTCAACCCCTGGAAGGAATCAGTAACTGGTTATCATTATGCCATGTTATGATTTTCTTTGGTGATGACATGAGGTGCTAACTTGATTTCCTAAAATATTCATGTATCTCAAAACCATTGATTAAATAATACATTCTTCTCCACTGATTTGAAATGGGTGAAATTTCCCTTTAAAATTAACTCTTGCTCCCAGGATTGTCCCTTTGACCCTGTTCTCCCTAGAACTCCAGTGGGTTGTTCTCCTTTTCTCGTGTAGTGGAGCCTAGACCTGCCTGCTCCTGACCAAAGCTTCTGGCTAATGATTAGTTACAGTCTCCTTCATCCTGAAGCTAGAGAGCTACCACTGATGAACAAACCTGCTGAGCTTCATAGCCCCCAAAGTAAACCACCTACTTGATGGGTTTTTTTTTCCTCAGAGGGGAGAAACTGAAAGACATAATTTTGAAGAGTTTGCCTAAAGAAGAAAGAAATGGCCTAAGGAAAGTTCTTGCTTTCTTCTCTACCCTCTCACTAGCACCTTATATTTCCTACACTTATCACCACTCAGCTAGAGTACAGTATCCTTCCTCCTGGGCTGGCCCCCTAAGGCCTGACAGTGGCTATAGTGCTTACTTACCACCTGGCTTACAGTTTTGGTGACAAAAAAAAAAAACTGAGTTTAAAGCTGGACCTGGCGGCACACAGTTGCCTCTCTAGCATTCTGAAGACAGAGGCAGGAGGACCCCAAGTTCCAGGCCAGCTTGGAGTAAATAGCAAGAAGCTGACCTTGCCCTCACATACACACCAAAAACTGAGATTACAGGCTGGAGACGTAGGTCAGCTGGTAGAATACTTGCCTAGCATGCATGAAGCCATGGGTTCCATCTCTAGCATCATATGAAAGTAGGCATGGTGGTACATACCTGTGCTCCTAGAACTTGGAAGGGATGGAGAGGCCAGAGAACCAGAACTTCAGTGATATCTTTGATTACATCTAGTGAGTTCTGGCCAGTGTGAGATTCATGAGCTCTATCTCAAAAACAAACATGTGAGTGTTGCCCCAGCATTGGAGGTGCCAACTCTGCCTGGTGAAGGAGAAACATAACTTGTCTCCAAGGACTTCTTAAGGAAGCTTCCATTTGAGCATAGGTTCAGAAGGCAGACTAGAGTCTGGGAACAGGAAACATCATGAACTGAAAGAGGCGATGATCCTCTGAATCTAAAGTTATGCTGGTGTACACATGGTGCCACAGGATCTGAGTATGCCTTAGCTTTCATTAAGTGTAAGGACAATGTTTGGCAGCACATGTACCAAAACTGAAATATGGAGATTAGCATCACCCCTGTGCAAGAATGACAAGCAAATTTGTGAGGCATTTGGTATTTTTATTACTTTGTATGCTAGGTTAATAACTAACTTTTCAAAGTGTAAGGACAGACATCTGTGGAAATGCCTAAGTAAAAATAGAGATTCCAATCAATGTCTTGGGAAATAATTGGATATGAACGTGGAAGATGGGAAACAGGTGGTTCTGTAATTGTCTTTGGCAAGGACTTCTGTCATTAAGGGCATTGCTGAGGTGGTCATGGGTAAAGAACAAAGCAAATGATAGGCCTGGGAATTTTGAAAAAGCAACAGGTATCTACACAATGAACAATAATGTGAATACTAAGATAATGTTTACAAATATCAAGGAAGTTACTATGCAATTTTAGGTTAAAAAGCAAGTTATAAAATTATGTATTAAGTTTAATCACAAACTATCTTTCTGAGGAAAATATGCATTTAAAAAATTGACTGGCCGTCAGGGATGTAGCTCAGTTGGCAAAGTGTTTGCCTAGAATGTATAAAGATCTGAATTCATTCCCCAGCACTATATTTTAAAAAAGAGCAATGATGCATAGCCATAATTCTAGTAGTGAGAAGGTAGAGGTAGGAGGGTCAGAAGTTAAAGGTCATCCTTAACTACATAGCAAGTTCCGGATCACACAATCTTATATGAAACCCTGCCTTCCCCACCCCTCTAAAAAAGGGAAAAGACTAGAAGTAGTGGTGCACAACAATAATCTCAGCATTGGGGAGGGTAGCATAAGAGGATGGAGAGGGTGGTGATAGCCTGGGCTACATAGTAAGACTCAGAAAATAAAATGCAACAAAACAAAAACTGGAAGAAAATGCTTTAAAATGTTGATAGCAGTAGGTTGTCTTTGAATAGTACCTATGTAATAACATACCCACAAAAAAGTAAGAGAGCTTGGTTCTGTGTTTGACATTTTGGCATAAATTCTCAACACATCTGAGTATAAGGATCCTACATGTGTTATTATTATTCCTACTTTGGGGGGGGTGAGAAGGGCTTTCTCTGTGTTGCTTTGAAGTCTGTTCTGGAACTCTCTCTGTGGACCAGGCTGGCCTCGAACTCACAGAGATCTGCCTGCCTCTGCCTCCCAAGTGCTGGGATTAAAGGTGTGCACCACCACTGCCCAGTTATTATTCCTACTTTGCAAATGAGAAAACTGAGGCTCCCTAACTAAAATCCACACAGCTACCTGAGTGTGATGGCTTACACCTCTATTTTCAGCATTTGGGAGGCTGAGGCAGGGTTTTGCCATGAATTCAAGGCTAACCTAGACTGTACAATGAGTTTCAGGTCAGCATGGGCTAAATAAGACCTCATCTCAAAAACATAAACACATATGCAAAAATCTCCATAATTCACAAGAGGCAAAAATAAAATTATTGACTATATTTTGGCTGAGGCTATAGGCTAGTTGGTAGATGATTTGCCTAGTTTGCAAAAAGCTCTTCATAAGACAGATATGACATTGCATGCCTGTAGTTCCAGCCCTTGGGAGGATCAGAGATTCAAGGTAATTCTCAGCTATATACGGAGTTTGAGGTGATCCTGGGCTACATAGTGATTCCCTATCTCAACAGGAAAAATGAACAAAAGGAAGCATTCTCTCCTACTCTATAGAATTTGCAATTTTTCCCTTTAATTTTTTTTTGAGACAGGGTCTCACTGTGCAGCCCTGCTGGCCTATAACTTGCTCTGTAGACCAGGCTGACCTTGATCATAGAGCTCTGCCTGCCTCTGCCTCATGACCTCCCTTGCAGTGAAATATGCCCATGTTTGTAAGACCCCACCTCCTAACCAGGCATTGGTGGTGCACACCTTTAATCCCAGCACTCGGGAGGCAGAGGCAGGTGGATCTCTGGTGAGTTTGAGGCCAGCCTGATCTACAAAGCAAGTTCCAGGACAGCCTCCAAAACGATACAGAGAGACCCTGTCTCAAAAATCAAACAAACAAAACCCCCAACTTCTAGTGCAGTTTGGGGTTGACCAGAAGGCTATAAGGTTAGAGAAATACTGGGTTCTTGGGGACCTTAGTAAAAATGCCTGTGGATAAATACAGACTAGGGCATATTTTTGCAAACTAATCAAGACATCAGACAAAGTAATTTATATGATTAAGATAACAAGAAGAGAGGTGTGGAGTATCTAAGGAATACCTGGCTTGCTCATAAGGACCCAGAGTCTGAAATTAGAGACTCAGTCTAGTTGTTCAATCCCATCAAGGAACGTTGAGGCCATGTGTGTGATGAGAAAGGAGGGCAATACCAGGGAAGAGACTTTAGTGCCTTTGGACCATATTCACCAAGTGGGTGGTCAACCTCCTATCCTTGTGGGGTAGGGGGACTGGGGACAGACAGGATATTGACTTCATTTCCTCCTGGCCCGCACTTCCTCAATGGAAAAAGCAGGCTGAGCAACGTTTTCATTGAATTGGTAGTACTTTGGAAAATTATAGCCAATTCCCAGTAATCAGCACCAACGAGGGGCCAGCAGTAGGGTCTGCAATTAAATAAAGAAAAAATGGCAATGTTTACAGTTCAATTTGTTTTAAAATGACAGATTTCCCTTTATAACTGTGAACCAATGAAGGTTCAACTAGAAGGGGTTGGTTTTTGCTCCAGCCCTTCTGCTCAGAGCAATTCCTCTACCAGGCCCCACACCCTGTGCTCTCCAGGACTCTTAAGCCAGAATGCTTTGCTCCTTCTAAAAACTTTCCAGTTTTTCTGTTACCTCTCCATTCCATTCTCCATATTCTCTCTGGCATTTGGTATAACCCCTCTCCCGGGCAGCTTTTTCTGCCTCTGTGACCTGTCTCTTTTCACAATCAAAGCTTCCAGAAGGCAGGCTGCATTATGGTTTTGTCCTTTTCAGCAAGTCCTTGCACTTAGCACTCTGCTGGCACACATAGGCTCCTACCCAAACCTACCCAAACCTTTGCATGTCGTAGCTCAGTGAACCCTGTGTCTCATGTCCCAGTGGGCTTGAGGGGTACTCTAAGGTCAGGAGGATTCCAGATTTCAAGGGCCCGGAGGACCACACTCCCCCCACCCCCTTTGTGAGTGCAGATAACAGAAAATTGCCTGTATTTTGCAAGCTAAAAAGGAGTGGTATTTACCGGGCCCAATTACAGCCCATTTTGTTGTTCTGGGAATGGGAAGTGTCAAACCTTGCCCAGTAGACAGTGTGATCTCTAAGAAGAAAGACCTTCTTAGGTGGGCGATCAGACCCTGCAGTCCCCATTTGGTCACAGGCCTCCCTAAGTGTGAGACCAGAGAGTTGACGTGAGGAGGGGAAGGAAGAAGAGGGAGAAGCCCCCCACCCCCACCCCGGCATGGAGCCCCTCCCCTTTTTTTGCTGTTACTGCTTTCACCTCTGGTCCCTGTCGGCCTCCCTCTGGGCTCTTTGTTGGTCTGTCTGCCTGCTTTTTTCTCCTCCTCCCTCCCTCTCTCCCCCCTCCCTCCCTCCCTCCCTCTCTCTCTCTCTCTCTCTCTCTCTCTCTCTCTCTCTCTCTCTCTCTCTCTCTCTGTTCACGTGACTGCCTGCTCTCAACAGCTCCGAGCACCTCTTCCTGAGGCAGCACCTTTCGTCTGGTAACAGGAGATACTCGGTGTTGGAGGCAGGATGGGTTTCCTTCCTCCCCTTCTTTCTTCCGTGCGTTCTTCTGGTAGCTCCGGAGGCTCCTTGCTGCTTGATCTCCACCTCTCCAGCCTCTCCCAGCCCCCATAGTCCTCTTGCCCTCTCCTTTCCCCTCCGCTGTGGGCTCTCCCTAGGCAGCCAGCCCCCTTTGGGGAGAGGGCTTCTGCTCAGGGGACAGATAAACCAGCCTGCACCCACTCCGGAGCACCCCTTTGCAGCGACTCACCACGTGGGCCCTCCCCCCTCACAACGGGCATCCTTCTCTTTCTCCCCAGCCAGAAAGGACAGGAGTTCAACCCCTCTGACAACATTTCTGGCCCGGTTCGCGCCAATTGCTCTGCCTTGGATGCTGAGCCTCTGGGTGCTTCGGATATCAAAGAATGTATAGGACGCCTGTCCCGGACATGCTCCTGAGTGCAGAAGCAGCTCACTTGGTTCCTCAGGCTGGAAAACACACAGCTTAGGGGAGGAGACTCGGGCTCCAGTTTCAGAGAGCTCCCAGTCCTGGGTGGGGAGGCTTCGGGACTGGTGTGTGACAATATCTCTAGCTTCAGAAGCCCTGAGTGTGATGAGAGATATGTACTCTCTCCACTTTGCAGTCCTAACCTGCAAAGGATGAATTCAAAAGTGAGGTGGTTTAATAGGGACCCGTTCCTATATATAGTCCCAGATCTCGGGGGGTTGAGGCAGGCAGACCGAGAGTTCCAGACCAAACTGAGCTACACAGCAAGTCTCTGTGTTTAATGATAATGATAATAATAATAATCTGGGATGAAAATACCTAGTAAAAGCAGAGCTGAACCTGCATATTGGTGATCTCTTGGTAGAACCATATATTGAGTTTCTCTGCCATCTCGCCTAGCCCTTACTGAGGTAGCCTTCTTCATTCTACCACAATTTGGCATCAAAAGTGAAATCCCATTATGTAGATGGGTAAATTTTCAAACAAAGGCTATTGAAGATTAAGCGCACCAGGCAAAAATATTTCCAGAGCTGCTTCTCTGTAAATGTGAGCTCTTAGCTTAAAGGCTACTGCCAGGTTACTTGCCTGGCACTACATACCAGTAGTAGGCATTTTAGATACTATGGTGGGACTATTTATCTGAGACACACACACACAGCTGGCCACTTAATGCTATTTTAGTCAATAAAGCTAAGTCCCCTCAGGGGATATTGCCTGTAGCCACAGCCACATTTGCTCTACATTGGGGCATAGCCCTGACCAATCCCATATCAAATGACCCAAATGCTGTGTGGGGAGGGGTGCCAGAAGGAATTCCATCTCTCCAGGATCATGGGGAGATGACTTGTCTTGTGAAGCCCGGAGCCTGCCTGGCATGTACCAAATAGAATAGTACTTGTTTGAAACAAAACCTAATAAAAATGGTCACCAC